GTATCCCTTTCCAGCACATCCATCAGTCACACAGGATGTACACAGGTTTCTTCTCAGCTCCATACCAGCCACACGGAGCCTCAGCCCCTCTCCAGATCTGGAAGATAACACTAAGACCATCAAGTGTACTCAAAAGTCCCAGATCTCCAAGAGTCATCATGCATTGCTTCCCCGCTTTCTTCTTCCCACACTCTTCTTTGCTTCTTTCTTTGCTTCTGTCTGCTTCTTTGAACTGTGCTTCCACATCGTCACCCCATTTTCTCAACCATTACTATAGCTATGCAGAGATCTACCCCCCTACCACCCTATAGAGGTCTGTCTGATCTACAATAGGCCACGGATATCCTAACACTGCAACACTACTGCACACCAATTAATACCATCAGAACACACTCTCTTACATAGAAAAGCCTCAGTAGTAGTAAGCACAAGAAAAAAGAAATAACATAAAAAGACTTGCTCACCAGCTTATCCACAGCCACGTCCTATTGAGGTTTGCAGGGTCAGTCTGCCTGGCTAGAGCCTCAGCTGCTTCAGTCAGCATCTTCCAGCCTTTTCATTGGCCCCAGGTGTCTCTCTTATACCAGGCAACAGCTTGATGAGAACAGCTCTGGCTTTTGGATCTATGCTTCTGTTTCAGCCTTGTTGTAGGGGTAGGACTGAGCATGGCCAGGGCAAGAAGTAGCCTCAACAGACTGGGAAGACACAATTGCTAGCACGTAGGCCCACCTCCCCCAGATAACCTCCATCACTGTTTGTTCCAAGAGCTGATTCTCACCTCCCCTGTTGCTTCATTAGCTGGAGCTCATAAGATAATATGAGGGACTCCATCAAACATCTCTTGGAGAGGTGGTGGCCTCTGGAAATAGTCTCAGGGAGGACCATGCTGGGTGTAAGGAGTCAAATGTGGCATTTCACTGTGTCACTGGAGAGATCTCAGGAGCAAACTGTCCTCTTGGAATTTGTTTTTAAGCAATTCTGTCGATTCAAATGGGAGTCTAAAAGCAACCTGGTAGGAAGAAGTAAGGAGCAAGTAGTGTAGATTCACCTTTCTTCCACTGCCTCATCTATGAAACTAAGTTAATCGCATGATCTTCCTGAAGAGGAGTAGTTGAGAAGATTAAGAAGAGGTAAGACAATAAGCTTCAAAATAAATGTTTAAAAATCTTTTTTTTTTTTTTAATATGTATTAAGATGTATAGACAATAATTACATGTCTATTAAACTGAGTTATTTAAATGAGTGCTTGGCAAATTAACATATAGAATATTAATTAGAACCCCTAATTCTGCTGAACCCAAGAAAAGCTGATTTAAAAATTGTAAATGTGTAGAAGATGGCTTCTGAGAGAATAAAAAACATTTCTATGTTCTGAAAAGCAAGCAATGAGGATGTGACAACACATGAAAAATTCCTTTAACTGTACCTCTTCTCAGCACAGTTTGCAGGACCTGAGGCTTCCCCAGTGGCAGCTGCTTTTTGAGCTCCCACCTAGACAAAAGAATATATATTTGTCCTATCTTGCTTCATTTCCATATGTATTCTCCTTCTGTGGGTTTCATGGCAGCTCTCTCTCGTCTGGTCATGCACCCCAGCAGAATAACACATATACAGTGAGTTCCCAGGCCAGTGCACTTAGACCAGGCAATGCTGTCAGAAGCAGAAGCATCTCTACCCTCAACAGCTCGTGGTCTTGATCTCAGCAAGCTGCAACAGTGTTTGAGGCAGGCATGCAGGGGGGACAGAATGATAGAGGCAACTGAAAAGTAAATGAGAAGCAAGTGAAAAGTTTGAGCTAAGTCTCCCGAAAAATCCTCGGAAAACTAGAAACAAGCAGGTTTTGCAATGTGAAAAAGAACATGTGAGGCTTATGGGGACATGCATGTAGAATTATAGAATCCTTAGAGTTGGAAGGGACCTCTGAAAGCCATCTAGTCCAACTCCCCTGCATTGAGCAGGGACACCACAGCTAGATCAGGTTGCCCAGGGCCTGATCCAGCTTTGTCTTGAAAGTCTCGAGGGATGGGGCATCAACCACATCACTGGGCAACCTGTACCTCACCACCCTCACTGTGAATTTTTTTCTTTATATCTAACCTAAATCTATCCTCTTTGAGCCTGAAACCATCTCCCCTTATTCTGTCACCACAGACCCTGCGAAAGAGTCTGTCCCCTTCTTTCCTGTAACTCCCATTTAGATACTGAAAGGCTGCTGTCAGGTCTCTTGGAGCCTTCTCTTCTCTGGTCTGAACAGCCCCAGCTCCTTCAGCCTGTCCTCGTAGGAGAGGTGTTCTGCCATTGAGTCATTTTTGTGTTACCTTTTTTCCAGTTACCAGGGACTTCACCTGATTGCCATGACTTTTCAAATATCTCTGAGAGTGGCTTGGTGACTACATCAGCTAATTGTAAGGACCATTCATGTTTGTGTGCCCACCTATTGTTGGGTAGATGCACACGTACACTTACATCAGTAGCAATAATATCCTGGCTCCATTTTAATGCCACATGAAAAGTAAAGCAATTAATGAAATATAGGAGTTTGTGTATGGAAACTGGCATAAAAGAATAAACCTGCACAGACTCAGTGCAATTCTTCACATTTGAAAGAGCTATTAGACTAGATAGAGATAGATGCAAGTAGAGAAATACAGCAGACAGAAGCCACTCAATAGCATTCAGGGAAATCAACACTCATGCGAAATGCCAACATCCTGGGCTAAACATCTTGTTAGAAGTGATTGAATTCCTAACAGCTGTGTCAAAATGCATTCACTTGCAAGTGTTACTTGTGGATAAGCAATATTATCTTGTCATCCTTGCTATTTATGGCAGCATCCATAACATCCTCACTTCTTTCCAACCATATTGTTCTCCAAAGAGCCTGCTGCAACTCTTTTGTGGCTGTGAATGTACAATTTTCTATGATTGTCCAAGCTACTGTGGGCTTCAAAGTTCAATAGTAACCAAGGTGGGTATAATCAGAGTTGAACAACTCATGGATTATATCAGCATAAGGGATATAAAAGCAATCCAAAACCCCATACTATAAGCACCATTTACTGATTGGACAAAATTTTTAATGTTGAAAGGAACACTTGAATTTGAATTCATACTTGAATTCATAAGACATCAAGTATTCCATATTTGCACTGACAATTTCATTTTTTTATTACTGTTACATTTTTTGTGGGCAATAAAATAATCAAATACTTCTGGGAATAAAAAGTAATAAGGGGAAGCTTAGAGATTTAGAGAACAATATTTCAGGAATTTTGCCTCAAATAACCAGGTCTTTTATTTTTTTGTGTGTGTACCTAGAGTATGCGCAAGAAAAACTGTGAGTGTGCTGTCAAATGGAAAGAAACATATTTCTCATTAGGACTGTGCTTATCACACTTTCAAAAGTTTTAAAAATCAATGCATTTGTTTGTCATTTTAATTTGATATAACAATAGCTGACAAAACTGCTCATTTTGCCTGCTAGTGACAAATTTACTGAAATTTTGCAGCATGAGCCAAATAACATGGCACCAGTTCCTCCAGCTTTTATTTCATTCTGCTCTAGGCAGTATTCCTACTTGTTTTTTTTTGCGTGAGTTTTGCCTGAATGAGGGCTGAAAGTTTCAATTTCTAACATCAGACAGTTTTAGAGTCAGTTGAAGAGTCACAGAAATCCCATTTACAAAACATGTTGGGTGACTAGAATGGTGCTGCCTTCAAATTTTATCTCTGAAATGCCAGGCTCATTTCTTACAGAGCATTGCAACATACAAACTAACTATATCCTTGATGAAATTCCCTTGAGGTCCTTGAGGTCACCCCCAGGATTAAACACTGCCTGACCTTTTGCGTTCAGAGCTCAGAAGCACTGTATTATGACGCCTACTACGCCTTCGGAGATGTTGGTCTGTTCCACTAAAAACAAACATCTTAGATCTCGTCCCTCATGGGAAGAGCTCCAATGAAGAAACTCCCTGTTATTACCTTGTACAGAGACTCTACAGGACCCTGTTCTGCCCTTCTGGCGACAGAGACAACGTAGATAAAGCTATCACTCAAGTGCAGCCTTGAGTAACGGCACATTTTCCTTCATTCAAAATGATATTGTAATGCATTAACTAAGGGAAATGTGTTAGGAGCTTTGTGCTGGAAACAGAGTGGCGGGTCATGAAGGTAGTGGTTAGGGCAAAGTACTTCATAAAATCATAGAATGGCTTAAGTTGGAAGGATCTTATAGATCATCCAGCTTCAACCCCCTACTGTGGGCTGCTTGCCCTCCATCAGATCAGGCTGCTCAGGGCCCCAGCCAGCCCAGCCCTGAATGCTTCTGGGAATGAAGCATCTGCAGCTTCTGATTTGATTCAACTGCTCTTTTCAGTCTCCTCTATGCTACTGACTTGTGGTGAGATTTGGAAGTCTTTTATGGTAAAGCCTATAAACTAGAGCCCTTCATCTAACTGCTCTGCCACTGCTTTTCTGCAAAGAGGAGGTTGTAGCAGTTCATTATGTCATAATACTTTTACTGTGTTAGCTGCTGGTGTGTACAGTTAGTGCATCTTTTTGAACATGTACCCATCATTTTTTTTACGAGAATGTGCTATACATCTGTAAATGAACATATCCATGTAGATGCTGGGACTCAGTAAGATCACAGAATATGAAAAAACAGTATGAAATCTATTGAGCGTAGCTCCTCTGACTGGAGCCTTTATGGCAGCTGTGTGGACCGACTCCTCCCTGAGTTTTCACTCCAGGAATTATTTCTAACTTGGCATCCTGAAGTCAGTACTGGATTCCAACCTGAAAAGAAAAGCAGAGCTAGGCAGACACACACTAACCTCCTTCAAGCATTCAGAGTATTGTGCATGTGATAAAGGGTTGGATAAAACTGTGGCAATAGTCTGCTATCTTTCAAGGCTCAGGAAAATAAACCACAAAGGCAATTCAACAAAGTCCTCTTTGTTCCTGAATAGAACCAACAAAATGAAAGAAATCTGGTGGACGAGAGAAGGCAAGAAAAGGTTTATTGCAGGCAGCAAGTACAGACAGAATCATCTTTGCTGGCTTCTCTGACAGAGCAAGTGCATGATTATCACATGAGCCTCTCAAAGACAGGAATTAAAGGGGCTGTCACATCGCTTAAGCTGCACTGAGGTCAAAGGAGTTCGGACTAACCGAGGTCAGCCACACGTGGCCCGGGAAGTAGGGGTCTCATTTTTTCTAAGCAACAATTGTTCAGTTTGATAAAAATAGATGCCTGAAGCCTGCAATGGCTTGTAAAGCTGTCCCTGTAGGCTGGATTCCCACAAAATGCAGTATATCATCATCAGCGCTCTGAAAAGAACCGAAAGACAATGAGGCCAGTCAGATGGTCAATAGAAACAAGCACAGAGGCAAAAAACACAGAGGAGGTCACCATTTTTCTCTGTCACCCCCCTAGAAGAGCAAGGGGAAAAATAACAAGTCTGAAATATTGGTGCATCGGTATAATAAAATGAACATGGAAACAGGTGCTAGCAATATGACTGTATGGGAGCCTGTTGCTCTCTTCCACACAGTATTCCATGAACTGTGTCTCAAACAGAGAACCCACCTCACAGGTTGCCAGTGATGCCAGGGCTATGAAGAATGCCCCTGTGGTAAAAATAGTGCCCATTCTGTCCCATGCTCTCTGTCCCCATTCAGTTTCCAATTCACGTAATTCAGCTATAAAAGGAGCACTGAACTCGTCACCGGGAGCATCAAATTTCTCCACAGTTTTGATGAACCTTTTGCTGGAAGTGGACAAAGGAGAAATGAAAAGTTGTGTAGCCAAGTGCAGCACGTGTCTGGGTACATCCTGAGACTCGTGTTTGAAAGCAGGATTGATGTTCCTCTTCTTCACTGGGCAGGCACAGAAAAGCAGCCTCTTTTTTTTTCAACCTTTGGATCAAGTCAACACAAAAACACAGTGTAATCTTCATCATCATCTTCACTTTCATATACAACCAAGCTCAGGATGCTTCTGTGCTTGCTGTTACACAGCACAGATTATGTGATTGATTCTGCCCAGAAAACTGATTCTCATTTCTGTATCCCCATTTCTGAATTAGAATTTTCCATGTTGAGATTATTTGTGACAGGAATACCAAAATTTTAAGATACTTTCTACAAATAAAGCCTATCCCCAACTTCATTACTCACACAATAATATCATATCTTCCTGGTAAACAAAGTATATGTGATACAGACAGAGTGAATGTAATGGGATTTGCAAGTATCTCTCTGTCGCACCTTTTTATTCACTAAAATAAATCCTGAGATCAAACCAAATAAGGAAAACTGCAGGTTCCCCACATGATCTTCACTGGTATGTTCAAGCTGATAGTGAAGAATGAATCTGAGTAAACAAGTCCTTAGGTAAGCTCAATTCTCTTTTACAACCTGGTAATGACTATGTGTTGACCTGTCCTTGAGGAAAGAGCCTTTAATGCAGCTTATCAAGCCCAGAAGACCTCCCATTGTCCTCAGTGAGGTCTGGGTCAGAAGTCAAATTGAAAACTCCAAACACACTATCTGTGCTTGACAGGCTTTAAACTGGAATTGACGTTCAATGTCCAGTGTGCCGTAAAACACAGCAATAAAATACACAGTAATGTAATAGTCCTGGGTAATTTGCTCCAGGTAGCCCTGCCTGATTAGACCAGATGGACCCGAGGACCCTTCCAACTTCATCCATTCTGTGAATAGTAGAGAACTGCTTTTTTCATTCATTTCCACTCTTTTGTTCCAATTTTACTGTGTTTTTTTCCTGCTCTGGTGTAAGGCTTGAGATGATGCAGTTGTATACTTCCTTGGGTATAGAAGGAGATGCAAATGCCTTTTATTAGTCTGTTCATTTTCCCCTCTGTACTCAGCACTGGTAAGGCCACACCTTGAGTACTATGTCCAGTTTTGGATCCCCTCTCAACATCAAGGCCCTGGAGTGTGCCCAGAGAAGGGCAACAAATCTGATGAGGATCTTAAGAGGAGGGGCTGAAGGAACTGGGATTGTTTAGTCTGGACAAGAGTAGGCTCAGGGGAGACCTTATTGCTCTCTGCAATTACCTGAAAGGAGGCTGTGGCCAGGTGAGTGTCAGCCGTTTCCTCAGAACTATATAGGATTAGAGGGAATGGGCTCAAGTTGTGTTAGAGGAGATTCAGGTTGGGCATAGGAAAACCTTCTCCAAAAGAGTGGCCAGGCACTGGAATAGGCTGCCCAGGGAGGTGTCAAAGTCACCATCCCTGGAGGTATTCAAGAAACATTTAGATTTTGCACTAAAGGGTATTGTTTAGTGAGGAAATATTGGTGGTAGGTGGATGGTTGGACTAGATGATTTTGGAGGTCTTTTCCAACTTTGGTGATTCTATGATTTTTAAGCCTGATAAAGGACAACTGTCACCAATGATGTAGGATTCCAAAGTAAGCAACACAGAGCAGACTCTCAAAGCCAGCACACTCAGTCCTAGTGAAGGGGATGGGTATGGGTTCCTCATACACTGGAATTTGGACTTTCTGATGCAGCTGGTATGCTGTTGCTTTTTGGTGGGGAGAAAGATGAGGAGCAGGCACTCAATCATGTATATCCTGGGGGAGCTGAAGGGCTTGTGTTGAAGGTCCTGGAAGTGTTCATTACTGACCCCCTGATTGGTGACAAAGCTGCAATCCACCAAGCAGCAGGATTCTGTGTCAAGCATTCTCTATGGAAAAACTCTGGTTTTCTCTGTAAGGAAATTTATTGTATCTCCAAAGTGATGGGGAGTAGCATGGAGTTCAGTTTCTGTGTGTTGTCACCAACTCCTCATCTCAGCATGTCTTGCTGGTAACTTAACCACCCATTGCAATAAAGCACTCTTGGTCTTTCACACCATGTTAAAGAAAATAATCAACAGAGTACTTAAACCATGTTTGGCTTCAGTTCAGTTTTCAACTGAGTTCAATAGTAAAAAGAAACCCCAGTAGTTCTACTTCACCACAGCTAGTCTTGCTCAACGTCTAATGTTAAGATAAAATATGTTTTCCAGTGTGTAGGATGAAATAAGAGTTGCTATCGCATCAAGATGATTTTGTCAAACGCTACTCACATTAGATAGCAAATATTTTCTTTTGTAGAAGGAACAATTTTGAAAGTAGATAACCAAGCTGATGTTGGGGATACATCACTTGGGACCATGATTCATGATCCATGTAGTCTCAGTAAAAAGTATATTACTTTCTCAAACAGCTTTTAACAGGGACCTTGACAGAATTTTTTTTCTTCTAAATGATAAATGATCAAATCCAGTTCTACAACATAATTTTCAGTCATCGTTGTTCATTGTTTTTCTATTGCAAGTATGCCTTGGCATGGTTTATGAACCATTCAAGTATTTAGTAGCTGTTTAAAAGTAACAGCTATAACTACTTACACTGGATCCAAACAGTAGATGACTAGATGGGTCACTACCTTTAGAAGAAAAGTGTTTATGGAGAAGGATTTAAGAGAAATAAGATTATAGATGCAGATGTTCCATTATTCACAACATTTCAAGGGAGAAAGCAGAATGGCTTTTAAAGTTAGGTACAAAATAAAAATATTTCAATAAAAAGATAAGGATAAAGTTAGAGAGAAATTGCAAAAGTCAAGCCACTTGGAAAACCCTACCTGTTTAGGTAGGGTTTCTTGATTATAATATCCCAAGAGTGAGCATTTTGATTCCAGGTCACAATAAGATGCCATTCATGGAAAATACTGCATTTTCCACCCAGATGGAGAAAGGAATGGGAAAGGTGTATGACAGAGTGCCTCTCATCCCTTGAGATCTATCCAAGATCTTGGGAAATCAATGGAAAACCTTCCATTGAGTTGAACGTGCTCTGAATCACATCCTTTTAGAGCATGCTTTGTTGTCAAGCCCTTCTTCCCCACTCTGTTGCACAATTTGCTTTCTGCTGATGTTTTTTTTTCCAAATATTAATAAATCTGTATAATCTTTGAGCCTTTCTTCTGTTTCAGTCACACTGTTTCACTGTATGCATGACTGCATGATTGAGGGCTGCTCTGGAAATTACTCATGAAAATGAATTGCCTGGTCATACCACAATGGTCAATATCTGTAGGCTGCAGCATCCCCTCTGTGGGCCATTGTAGCAGATCATAAAATCTCATTTCCAGGAAAGTTTCAAAACTTTTATTTTCTAAGGAACATTAATTATCAAAATCCAAATGACCTGTCCCATTTCTCCATCCACTTCCTCTCTTTTTTTCCTCATCAGACGTGGTAGATTGGAGGCAAGTGGCAAGAGATGACATTTTAGGTTCCTGGTTTTAAGTCCCTGGTTTCATATCAATGTCAGCTGAAGTGCTTAAAAACAACAAGACTCATGATCCTAATGCCCAAACCAATATTTGCATGCAATCATTTCTCCATTGTTGAAGTTTTATAACAACAGCTGATTTACAAGTCTGACACTTAGGCAGGCATATGCTTTGGCAATCTACAGGCTTCCCAAGACTCATGCCTGCAGCACTGCCTGTTGACCTCTCCTTCCAACACAGGGCTTTGAGGCATCATCACAATCGCCAAACCACTTTGGACCTACATGGTTGTGAAAACACTAGTCATACCCCCATCTGAGCGTCCATTTTTTCACCTATAAATTATATTCTGTAGAGACCAGAACTTTCAGGAGGTACTTACAAGTTTTTACAAAGCACTTATCCAGGAAAGGTTCTCATACCCACGGTGAGACTTGAAATACATTGAAGAACAGAAAAACTCTCACCCCTCCCAGATGACCACCTGTTGTCAAGACACTGATGACATGGGAATCCAGATTTCAAGCTTATGTCCCGCAAGATGTCTGAATATCAGAATCCTGCATCTCAGGCAAGCATTCTGGCCGCCAAATTGTCAGGTATTCTGAACAACAACTTCCTCAGTCTCTCCTGTTGGACCTGTTTCACTTTGTATAAATAATTAAACATTAATTGGAACAAGGACTTGAACTTAGACTGCCCATTGGACTGTTGCATTGGTCTTTCTCCAGACCAGTGGGTAGGTAACTATTTGTATAAACTTGGTAAGTTGCAGAGCAACAGACGTACCTAAAGGGATCCCAAAAACTCAGAAAGAAAAGCCCAAAGACGTGTGGTAAAATCATTCAGTAAGCTACAGAACACACATTTTTCAGTCCTTGATCAGAATGAGGCAGAACAAGGAATATTAGCTGCTTTAGGGAAGGTTTTGCCAAATCTTCTCCACAGGTCATGCTTCCATCAAGTTTTGAGAAGAGATATTATTTAAAAGTCAAACTTCTTTTTTGTTGAAGTGAAAAATAGCTCCTACAGTTACAAAATCCTAATAAGCCCTCTATATTATGTTGAAGGCGTTAAGAATCTTCGGCATCATAATTGCTAGATTCTTAAAGTTTCTAAAACCTCTGGCTCAGACATAAAGAAGACTCTCACTGTTCCAGCTCTGAGTGGAGTAATTTGTTCCTCTGGCACTCTTCTCAATTTTGCTGGCATTCGTCAAATGATGACTTATCACATTTAGTCACATATAGTCATACAGAAAGATAAGTGAAGGCAATCAGATAAATTCAGTGATTAGAATAAGATTGCCACAAAAGAAAATACAGAAGGTAAGATAAAAAACTGGGGAGGCTGACTCCTAATCAGTTTACCTACTTGGTAAACAACGTTCCATAATAACTTAGATGTTTATTTTTGGTAGTCAAATACATTTATTTTCAAACAGCTTTTTCATAAGGATTAGAAATTAAAAACTGTAATTTAGATAACAGACTCTATAAGCAGCTGATATCAAAATCAGCAAGTTGGTATTCAGTAGACGGTGCAAGGTTCTGCTTTTTTCTTTAATGTCATATAATATTTCATTTTCATAAACACATGAATTCAGTTAAGAGTTAACTAGCTAAAATATACAAATATGCGGGAGGTTTTAAAAAGAACTACAACTTCAAAAGGAGCTGGTTTAGGAGTCATGACCTTATTTTTTGCAATAACTTATGCATCATGAACTTACGTAATAGGCAAAAGATAACATATCACACTCTCAGTTTTATGTCCTTGGTTTTTGACAACAGTGTCAATTGTATTTGCTAACTGAAGAACTATCAGAGCCTCGTAGCTGAAAATGTTTTCATTCCAAAACTGTTGTTTGTACCAAATCATTTCCCCTTTATTTTTCCTTTCTAACATTGCTAAATTCAGAATCAGAAATGAATAGGAGTATTCAGACAAATTTGGACGTCAAGAATGTTTCTGAACATTAGTTATCCTAGTGAAATAGAAATATTTGAGAAATAAAAATATATATTTTTCTAACTCTAATGTCAACAGAAAGCACAAAAGCACACATATGAAGTGGATGCAGAGGTCTAAATCTTTAGTTGTTGCCCTTTGAGTGGGAGTCAATAGCAGTGACTTGGATTTTAAAGCATTCTCGCAAGCTAAGTTTGAGTCCATTTCTTCCTTTTCCAAGCAACTGCTTTAAGCACTAGCCATGAGGCTGGGCACCTGTATCATCCACTGAAAACATCCGTCCTCCTGAGGCACTGGGATGTTCAGAAACTACAACAGGAAATATCTTAACAAAACATTATGGAAATGGGAGAGGTCTAAAATGTCAGTGAGTTAAGGTGCTTAACATCCATATGGATTGGCAAAAATGGGCTCACTTTCTTGAGGTTATTTTTGGAGGGATCTGAGGCTTAGGAGTAGGATTTGTTTTGGTTTTAGCTGTGAAATCTGAATTTTGGGGGGAGCAGTTTTGCTTTGAGACATTTAATAATTCACAGTAATATGTAGCATGGGGAAGAGAATGGCTCCAATTTTGTCAATTTGCAGTTTTCTGCAAATTAGAAAATATGACAGGAAACAATTACATGCCATTAGTTCAGTAGAGCATTTGCTATTTTATCTCATCTGAAGCTGAATTTAAGTGACCTGAAGAGAACTGGTTACATGTCTTAAAATCTGGCTAACAGTAAATTATCACTGGCAATATAGATTATTTGGTGAAATCTATAGATACCATTTTAATTCAATGCAAATGAAAACTTTCAGTACCCGTGAGAGTAAATTGACATCAGTGAATCTCCCTGATTTAACTAAACTAGGAGAAGAGAATAGGAATTGTAGTAAACAGCAGGAAAACAGACAAAAAATTCAATCTGGAAAAACTGAAATTGATATGCAGAAGAACAAGAGACACACATTCAACAGATGGAAGAAACGTAAGGAGATGCAGTGCTGAAAGAAACCACAAACACTGCATGAAGGATAGCAGTCTCACACATTAAGAAAACAAAGTTCTTCCGAGCTGTTACTACAAAGGTCATCACTCCATAACAGATATGATGGTGCACTTTGGAATCAGAGGAAACTTGCCTTGAAGGGATGTCATAAACTACCAAATCCTTTCCTGTGTCTTTACATGCAAACAGCTACATTTATCTTATTCCCAAATGCTTATAAAATAGGTTTCTTTCAAAAATACATAAGTCTTCAGATCATCTTATTATGTTCTATATTTGTGCACAACAAAGCAGTCTCAGACTCACAGACTTTCAGACAAAACTGAATCACAGAATCACAGAATCACAGAATCACCTGGGTTGGAAGGGACCTCAAGGATCATGTAGTTCCAACCCCCCTGCCTAGCAGGGCCACCAAACATACACATTTAGATCAGGTTGCCCAGGACCCTGTCCAACCTGGCCTTGAACACGTCCAAGGACGGGGCATCCACAACCTCCCTGGGCAGCCCGTTCCAGGGCCTAACCACTCTCCTTGTAAAGAACTTCCCCCTGACATCCAACCTAAATCTTCCCTCCTTCAACTTGGATCCATTTCCTCTAGTCCTGCTATTGTCAGCCCTTTTGAAGAGTTTACTACCCTCCTGGGTGTAGGTTCCCTTCAGGTATTGATAGGCTGCAATGAGGTCACCCTGCAGCCTTCTCTTCTCCAGGCTGAACAAGCCCAACTCCCTCAGCCTGTCTTCACAGGGGAGGTGCTCCAGCCCCCTGATCATCTTAGTCGCCCTCCTCTGGACCCTTTCCAAAATCTCAATGTCTTTCTTGTACTGAGGGCTCCACACCTGGACACAGTACTCCAGGTGGGGCCTCACAAGAGCCGAGTAGAGAGGGACAATCACCTCCCTGTCCCTGCTGACCACCCCTCTCCTGATGGAGCCCAGGATCCCATTTGCCTTTCGAGCTGCCAGAGCGCACTGCTGGCTCATGTTCAGTCTCTCGTCCATCAGGACCCCCACGTCCTTCTCTGCCGAATCATTGAATTGAATTGAATCATTGAATAACCATTGAATCTTGAATCAACCAATAGAGGTACCCTGGCGTGGGTTTTTTGTTTGTTTGTTTGTTTTCTTGTTTTGTTTTGTTTTGTTTTGTTTTGCCAACTCAGAATTATTAAAAAAAAAAAGACATAAAACAGCACATAATTGAGGATATTGGGCCCACAGCACCAACCCTGTGGCTCTTCAGCTTTTATTTTCACTCACTCCATACCACTAGGCCTCACTACTTGCACACATAGCTGTAGCTGCTGGCAAACATTATCTGAAGAACAGAGAAAACTCTGATGGCATGGAGGATCTGATCTATTGGGAAGGAGCAGGGCAGATACACTAAGAGGGCAAGAGGAGTGGTAGAGGAGTTGTACAACCATCATTTTCATTGGTTCCTTGGTTACAGTTATTCTCATGCAGCCAAACAGCCCTTTCTTTTACATCAGACCAGTGACACTCCAGGCTGGTCAGCTCAAGGACGCAAAGGTGAATAGCAATAACCAACAATTACACTGACTTTCAGAGTGTACAGTTTTCATTTGGTACCTCGTAACATAGCCAATAAAGAGGGATAACTAAGATAAGAGAAGAAAAAAACACATACTGAATTTGAGAAGACAATGTACTGGCATGACATCTTTTAAACAATGGAACAATCTCCTAGATGCTCCCCAGTAATGGATCCTATTTGTTTGTTGCTTTTATAGCTAGACTGGCAAATGCTAGAAAATAGCCTGCAGGATATAATCTTGCCTTGGCAAGTGGTTGGGCTGGATGAACATTTCCATATAAGCTTCCTCCCAATTCAGATTAAAGCTCTGGAAAAAGGATTTCTTTCTTGCTCTGTATTCTACATGAAATCCATATATGGATTTCATAAATGGATTTCATATAACAACATCAAAAAATGCCATCAGAATTCTTGGACTCTGACACAAACTTCCTCAGAGATGACTGATACATCTCCACTGACCCAGGGACTTCAAAGCATGTCCTTTGATACTCACAAAAACAGGTCCATATCTGCAAATGCCATCAGAATTCAGAGCCACTTTCTCTCAGTTACCCAAGATGGAAAGAAACAATCCAGAACTGGCACATTAAAAGTTGTGTGGGTCTCTTCAGTTGTTACTTTGCTTAAGGTAATGTTTCCTACTGAAATAGTGGCATGCTGACCCAGTGATTTGGCTTTGGACTCAGGCTCACTTCTTGGTCTTGTATGCGCTCAGAGGAAGTTTGCATCTTTCTGTTCATGTTCTCATAAACATGTCTTTAGCTATTCTTAGTGTTAACCAGCAAAATAATAATAATAATAAACAACAGTCCTTTTTGACTCATTGCATGTGCCTCATCTCTTGGGTGGCTGTCATCAGACTATACACTGAGGCAGGAATCTAGTTATTTTAACACCTAATACAGAATCGTACACTTAGAGAACAAGAGAGACCAAGAAATGTTTGTATTCATTTGAGAGTTCTGCAGGTTTTGGGGGGCCAAAGCTCCTTATTATAATTTCTGTCGTGTTGAACGTTCTCTAAAAACTTATTTCTTATAAATGTCCCAGTTTAGCCACCCATAAATGGAGTCATCTAAGCCTTACAAGTCATTTTGAG